TCATAGAATGTGATTTCTTATTAGCTTTAAAATAATATAAATTTAAAACACTGATAGCCCTATGGCACTATTCTCAGAGATAAGTGTATCTCCATCAGTAAACTTTCTTTTTTTAAATCATTTATCCGTCTGACTTTTCACCCTCCTTACAGCCACCTCCTTAGTTCAAGTCAACATCTCTCACGTGGATGAAGGCAGTGGCCTCACTGGTCTTCCAGCTCCCCCTTTGCCCCTCGAATGGCAGCCAGAGTCACATCATGCCTCCCTTTTAGTGGCTTCCAAATGAATTCAGAGTGTTGCCCTGACCTACTGGGTCCCACGTGCTCCGGCTCTTGTTAATCTCACTAAGCTCCCTTCTTCCCCAGGCTCTGCCACATGGATCCATCTTATTCCTTGAATATGCCCAAATCTGCCTCTCTCAAGGTCTTTGCCACTGCTGTGCTCTCTGCAGGAACTCACCATTGCACTCGTCATTCCCTAGCTGCTTTCTTTCCATCCTTCAGGTTTCCGTTGAAATGTCACCTGCTCAGAGGTCCTAAAGCAGTCTCCCTCAGAACCCTTCCCACTCCCTACTCCGGCTCCGCCCTCCGCTCTCTGTCACTTCACATGAACTTCCCACGTAGCATGTACTGCCATCGATACTGGTTTTGTGTCTTTAATGTGCTGACAGATTGTTAGTCTCTTCAACCCCACCGAGCTCCAGGAGGGAGCCTGCCCACCTGTATTCAATCCTAGTGTGTCTAAAGTAAAAAATAAACACATAAAAACTGAAGGCAGGGGACTACTAAACTGATGCTTCCTACTGTAACACAACACATAAAATCTTGGTCATTTTTTTTACTCCTTTCTCTTCAAGGGATCGTCTAGCACTCTTTATGAACTGCAAGCTTGCTGCCTAAATATACATTTCGATATTCAATATTTTGACTCCTTTCTCTTCATTGTATTAGTCACCAAGGCCTGTTGATTGCTGCATCTAAATTCCAACATTTTGTCTTATTCTCATCTTTCAACAGCAATTCCAAGCATCCTAATCAATATGCTTGTCCCCTCCCTTGGGTCACTTCCATGTATCCTCTTTCTGACAGGTGCATCTTCTAATGTCACTTTTAATCTGTCACTTCATTTCCCTCTCCCCCACACCCAAAAAAATCCATGTTCTGTCTTTTAGTAGATCCAAAATTCACAAAAATCAAATTATATTCAAATGTATTTTTCCCACCTGAATCAGTCAATAGTATTTTCCACTATTCTTTCAAACAAGTCCTCTGGTCTACTCAAAGACTTACTTTTCTATCCTCAAAATAAATCAAGTTCATTTCTCTCTTTGTGTTTATGCTTAGCCATGTCTTGGAGGCTTCTTCCCCTCCATCAATCGAAACCAAAACTTCTTCTTCAAGCATAGTTCACACGCAACTTCTCTAACTAAGCCCTGTCTCCTAGTTCCAGCCCGCATGTTCCTTCCCTTGTTCTCAATTCTTATAGCACTTAAACCATTGTTCCATGTAACATTTGATTATATAAGACTTATTGTTGTTATTCTTCAGTTACTTCATATGGATACATTTTATCTTGCAAATTGGATTGCAAGCAAAGAGTGTGTCCTTTACACCCCTGGCAGTGGCAGAAGATGCACTGACCCAACAGGAGCTGCTTAAACTGACTCACTAATTTATAGGGTCCTGAGGATGAATCCCTTCAGCTACAAACAACAGTTGTAGATAACTTTCAGTTCCCAAACGGAGCGTACAATCTCTGGCCCTGGATCTTTCCCGCGTAAACTCCCAATGCCTCTGTTCCACCTTTATTTACCTGGAAAATTCCTTCTCTTTCCAATCTCAACTAGAACAACATTTACTAAGGAAAAGGAAGTATCCCTTGCCCCTTCCTTACTCACTCATCTGTCCCAATATTTATGTAAAATGTCACTCCTATCTATTCCCATTAAAAGCCCTTCGATGCACCTGACACACTATATTGTAAATGACTATCTGCCCACTGGCCTCCCTGACTGGTCTGTGTGCACTTAGGCTCAAGTAGTTTATCTTTTATCTTTACAATAGCAGAGTGATCATGTTTTATTATTGTCGAATCGATAAACGAAATAAAAATAAAAAAGTTAGTCATAAAATCTATTGAAAGAGATATGAATTCAGTATGATAGGTATCAGTCTAGTGTTATGTGCTTTCAAATAAGCCACACAGCTCAAACCATTTAGAATGCCTATTTGTCTTTAACTCCAAAAGTAATTATTAAGCACCCACTACATGCCAGGCATTGGGCACACAGAAAAATCTCAAACACATAAAAATCTCTTGACCTCATAGAACTTGCTCTTGCTAGGTGAGAGAGGCAATGGAGCATGTTTTTGGCTCTGATTGAGTTGGAAACCACAGAAGAATTCTGAGCAGAAGGTTTCTTTCTGCAAGGATGCCGACACCGAGATGATGCTGGCTTGGACCAAAATGGTGTCAGTTTGAATGGTGAGCAGTGGTCAAATTATGGATCTCCTTTAAAGGCAGAGCCAACGAACAGAACTGGCTGAGGGACTGAAAGTGAGGTATGCAAGAAAGAGAACAGTCAAGAAGGGATTTTAGTCTGTAAAACTGTAGAATGGAATTTGTGATGGGTCTGGAAGGGTATGATTTTGGAAAGAGCGTATAGATATATGAAGAGGTTCTCTAAAATTAGGCCTTAAATTTTAATATTCCATTTTGTATAATTGAACTCCCCTTAGGCATTTTCCCAATGAATAGTAAAGGTCACTTGGGCTTCTTAGGCAAATTGATAACATCGAATAGAAAAATCATGCACAATTGTAGCCAATGCAGCTCCATGAAGCACTGCCTGTACCAGGCACCTTATAAAAGCCACTGTGATTTATTCTCCAAACTGTCTCAAGTTCTATTTTTAAATGACTAATACAATGCAGCTAGCGCTAGAGTTTACAATTTCTGGAACGGCTAAAAATCACTTCAAAGTTCACACAATTATTATCATTAGCAGGTATTAATAATTATACTTTGAATTTTATCAAATAATGTTTGAATGTCAAACAGACACTTGTGAAAGAACGTTTATCCTGCCCTAGACCATAATTTAGTCCAAGGTCCAAGGAGGTGGCCTTGACCTAGGAGTAAAAGACCACAGAATAAATTTGGATGACCTAGAATGACTTAACCCACCTAAGACTAAAGCTTGAGATAGAACAGTAGGAGATCCAGGCTGTCAGGCAGCTACCTAATCAACCTAAATAATCAGCTACTGTGCTTAATGCCTGTAATTTGAGGTAAGGCTGGTAATAATGGTTTATTTATTTTTTTCGTGTGTTGAAGTATATGTCTGCAAAACTTACTGAATTTGGGATTCGAAAAATGAGACTGTTTATAAACATACGATGCAAGAGCAAGTCTGCATAATGACTAAGTCTCTTGCGGAATAATTTAGTGGTAGTCATGATGAGTTATAACTTGGACTTTCGAGTTTTCATTGGGCAGAAACAAACCATTCTCACTCGGTCTGTTAGCGTTTTTTCCTTCCAGACTCTAAGTAGTTTACACAATAAACAGTTATTTCCATAGTAGAAATGACCAGGATGTCTAAGCTCCACAGTTAACCTGTTATTATGGTTAAAAATCAAGGTTGCCATTCTTCCAGATTTTCACAGCCACACAACTTTTGACCTAGCTAATGGAAATGTAAGAGTAAACATAATTACTTGACCTCTCAACAAAGGCAAAAATCAACAAGCTAAGGTATTTATTTCACTGGCAACTGATCTGGCAGAAAGAGGCATTACAGTGAATTCACGTAATGACAGGACACTACAAATTCTTCTCAATGGAAAATTTTAAGCAAGAGTTCATCCATAAATTGTCCATGTTCTCTTATTTAGGACTTTGATATAAAGTTCTGACTTGAAAACCTTATACACTTCATAATTTGTCAATGATATCAGAGAATAAAATGAAAACTTTTAGAATCCTAATTCACACCCCAAAATGAGCGATTAAGCCCATGAAATGAAATCTCATCACAAGCATATGTGAAGGAGAAGAACTCCCTTTTGCATCTCTATTTTCTTCCACTTAAATGCCTTCATAACGATGATGAGTCAATTTCCTCCTCTATCTTGAAAAATGATGCTTTAAACCCACCTCTTTCCATGAAGCAAGACAGCTGTAACCCCTCCCGATCCCCACAGCATGGCAAGCTTGGCTTTCACTATGGGTCTGCATTTATATCCTCTGGACATTTCTTGGACACTGAATGACTAGTAGAAAAGAAATCACTTGCCTATTCTGCTGCCTTAGAAGGTACTGAGTGCGTGGATGGTCCAGCCGAAAAAGATACCATGTTCCACTACGTGACTCTTTCTCACATTATAACAAACACGATTAAAAGGCAAAACAGCAAAGGTTTAGACTTTAATTGTTTTGTAGTCCTCATATTTCAGTGTTAATTTTTTACACATTTGTGCTACTGGAAAAATATAATGTATAAAAAGAAAAGTGCTGAAGTAATTATGATAGACACATGTATAAAACGGGAACAATCTGTTGAAATGTAAACTTAAAATTTACAACTTGAAAAAGATGATCTCAAGTCATGAAAAAAAATCAAAATCTCAAATCCTTTCTTTCTACTCCAAAGAATTAAAGATGCAGGAAAATTTAAAACTTCTCGCTCTCCACCCCCAAATCATTTCAAGTCATATTTTGGCATTCCTATCTATTAGTCAAATGACTCGACTTCATTGCTCTTGAGTTTCATATGCATTTTAAACTTAACTCAGTATTTTGAAACAATAAGTAATTCATTTCCATCATTCCTTCGTTTCAACCTTTAAACCCTCTTTTCAAAATCAATTTACTAAAATCTAGTTTTCTAACTTAAGTAGACCACTTTGACCAACTGTAAAAAAAAAAAAAATTCAAACAAACGAATTTTAGCTCACAGGCTGTACCAAAATTAAAAAACAAAATAAGTTGTCTCCTACCTATGGTTGTAATAACAGTGCCAGCAAAGAAGAAGGAACTTCCCAAGTCCCAGTGACTGATTTGATTGGAGGTGTTTCCTAACGGTATAATCCCTGCATTTATTGCTGCCACTATTTGCTGCAAGTTTAAAAAGAATTTTATCAGTACACATGAATCACATGGAGGCATCAAACAGCATATATTCCACCCCAGATGACTAATTAGACAGAGAATCAATTCAAAGAGAACCAAAGGCTTTTTCATTTAAAGTATACAATATAGAGTAAAACTTTACACTAAAAAATGTAATAAGTTAAATTATATTTGATATCAAGTGAATGGATCTGCATGGAGTTTATCATATTGTACCAATATTCATTTATATCATCCATTAATATATTTAGTGACTTATTTGAATCGACTATAGTAATTTTTTAGTAAGCAACAGAGTTAAAATATCAGATGACAAACTACAACTTAAATAATATATAAGCTTCACCAAAAAACACAAACATTTCCAAAGTGCTAATCATTTCAAATGTTAAACATATGTAGCCAAGCCTGCGTTGTGTGTAACTGTAGAGAGTACATATCAATAAGATGCAACAAAGCAAGCTACCATGAGAGGGAAAAGGCCATAGCAATTCACTATCAGACTTAAGTCAGTCCATTTATATCTAAATTCTTAGAATCTTTACAGGTTTTTATAATATCTATGAATATGAATATCCCCAAAGACCCATAGATGACAATCAGTCAACAATATTCATATAGGGACACTAGGATCTGGATGCTGCCTTGAGTAGAATTGAGAGACAGAAAGATGACATTAAAATCCCTTCTTTAATTGTCAGATACTGGAGGGGGTGAAGGGGAGATCCAGAAGCATGAAATGTAGAAGAGAATATGTTAGGAGCAAATGTGTACTAAATGAGAGACATACAGATTGTAGGAAAAGATGTTTCTGTTGGAAATATAGTTTTAAAGTTATATAGTTTACTGGCAAATGGACAAAAAAACTATACTATGAAAATGGAGGCACCACCTGACAAAGTTACTGTCAGATGGAAAAGAGCAGGTAATCGGAGCTGAAAGGCAGTATAAAATCTCATTCATCTGCTTCGTTGTAATCTATACATTAAAACTATACAATGATATGTGTTCACTGTAAAAAGAATTGGACCAACTCTAATTGGAAAAAAAAAACCTCATTGGATTGTATAATGTAAATATGAGCAACTAATTGTCTATTATCTTCCAATAAAACTATAAAAAAAAGACATTGAAGAACCCCAGGGGAAAAAAATTAGAAAATACAAAAAAACGTAAAGAAGACAATAAAAATTATTCGTAATTCCAGAATCCAGAGATAACCACTATAAATGTATTAAGGTGTCTAGTCTTGACATTTTGCTATACTCTTTATACAGATTTATGAAATATATGAAATGTATTCTCTATTCTTAATATTATTCTGTATGCAGTTTTTCCTTGTCATTACTATATTTATGCAATCACTGCCCAATATATAGACATATAGCTGTTCTAAAATGTGTCTTATTATAAAAAAATGGTGCTGTGAACATAGTTGTGTATAAATATTTTTTCATTTCTGAATATTTCTTCAAGAGAAATGGCTAGAAATAAATTTGCCACATTCAAGATTATGAATATTAGAAAACCCTTATTTATAGGAGCAAAAGGCTATCCAAGAACGCTGCTACAATTTACAACTGCCCCCAACAATTTACAAATGCATAGAGATACTATTATTACTTATAATATTAATATTTTATCTTTACTGAACTGATAAGAATTGTTTACATTTACATATCCATTATTGTGTGTGAAATTGAACACTAATGTTTTATCACATAGTAAATGCACACAGACATACATACGTGCACATATATGCACAGCACACGGTGAAACTAGTTTTGAGAAAACTGATTCTCTTTCTCTTACTCTATATCAGATAAGACAGTTTTGTCCTGATTAGGCTTCTTTTAAAAACATTTTTTTGCAATTACTAACCTATTATTCTCGCATAAACTTTAGAATCTTTTAGTTAATTTTTAAGGAAATTTTCATTTCCACAGGTTTAACATATTTCCACTGTTTGAATACATATGAAATCTATAAATTAATTGAGAAGGAACACTATCATAATAGTGAACTTCCCATCAAAGAACATGTCGTTTTTTGAGTCACCTTTAATATCTTGAAATAGAGTATTTTTATACAATTCAGATAAGTCTATGAGATTATTCTTATGTATTTGTTTTCCATATTAAATTATAACTGTTATTGTTATTGTATACACAAATATATACTGCCCATTCTCTGCACCAGCTATTCTCAAATGTTTTATTTCAAAACTACTTACATTGTCAAAAATTATTGAAGATATCAAGGAGCTTTTGTATACGTGAGTTATAACTATTGATATTTACATATTTGTTTGAATTTCTAATTTTCAAAATGTTTCGATTCATTCATGTAAAAATAAAAATAAGCCCATTATACATTAACATAAGTAACTTAATTTTGTGAAAAATAATTATGTTTTCCAAAACAGACATATATTTAGTAAGGAGAGGTGTTGTTTTATAATTTTATAAATCTCTTAAATGTCTTGCTTAATAGAAAACAGAGTCTAACATCCAAGGAATGTGCACACAAACGTTGCTTCTGCAGTCAATATGTTGGGAGAGCATATCACATAGTTTCTGGAAAACTCTACACTCATGAGACAATGAAAGTAAAAAAGGCAAAAACACCTTAGTTTTATTAAGAAAATAGCTCTGACCTCATCAAACCTCTGAGAGGGTCTTGGGACCAACCACGTCTTGAGAACCACTGCTCTATACTGAGCTCTTATTATTTGTTTTGTTTTGTTTTGTTTTTCTCTACATGGAAAACCAAAGTAAACAAGCTTATAGTTTACAAATAATGTCATTTTATCTCTGCATCTTTCAACAACTATGTTTTATTACTTTTCGTCTCTCATTACATTGGCCAGTATTTCCAAAGCAACATTAAATTGTTGTTGTTACATGAAATTCTCAATGGCTTTAGTGTTTTATCACCGACAATACTGGCTGTTGGCAAGAAAATGGTATTTAATTAAAGAATTATGAGAGCAAGAAAACAAAAAGGACAGATAACTAAAACTTAAAAATCTAAAAATGTCTTTGGAAATACGATAGGAATAAACACACAAGGGATGTGCATGCTAACATTGTAAGCACAAACTTGGTGATCTCTAGCTTTGCAACTCCCAGGAAAAACTAATGCTTCCAATAGAAATCAAGGAAGAGGGGTGAGGGTAGGATTTAGACAGATTATAATTGCTTCCAAAGCAACATTAAATTGTTGTATTTTTGCATTTTACAAATATTTTTTCAACACATTCATTTATTTAAAAATACCTATCAATTGTTTATGGTGTTAGGCAAACGGGGAAGCAAGAGAACTAAAAACACGGGCGGTATATAGATGAGAAAAGACAAGGCACCTCTGTAGACTCCACTCCATTAAGTAAAATTAATTATTTTATTGACTAGAAGGAAGCTAATTCCTCCAACAATTGACTTAATATATCTTTCATGGCCAGCACTGTCACTTTAGCTTGTTCTTTTGCTTGTCAATGATGAGGTACAACATTACCCAGACACTTGGATAAGATCCACAAATCATTTAAATGCAAAAGAAGCAAATGTAGAGTTAGAAACAGCAATGTCTGGCAATGTGTGGGTTGTAAATAGCTATCGCAGAGCTGTGAGTATTGCAACAGAGGCTTGAGATGGAACAGGGAATATGTCAAATTGCTATGAGAATGAGTCTACCATGAGGTCCTTTCTCTGGAATATTCTTGTAAATTTATTTTATATTTTTGTACAAGGTTGCTTGGTCGATGTCCACAGGAAACTGAATGCCCTTGGCAAGTGAACTGACATCTAAGTATCTCTGCAATTTCAACATCAATTCAGGCCATCAGAGCCCTTAACAAATGGCACATACAGAAATGTGCCATATTATGCAACTAAAGTAACAATCACTTCATCGATAACAAAAATTCACTTTTCCATTAAAGGCAACCTTTGTGGACAATCAAGTCATGCTGACAAGTTACAAATAAGTTGAACTGTTTAGGTTAGGGTAAAGGGAATATGGGTCCTATGCATTTAATCCTGACATATGATTTCCTGAAATATTGATTAAGGAAAGGCTTCCAAACTTAAAATCTACTACAGAAATAGCATAAGATAATCTTGATCGGGTTCACATTCAATTTTGCTCTTTGGTTTACAGGTAATCATAGAATGAGCATTAAGGAAATGAAGTTGAATACATGGTTCTAGTCAAGTTTGAGCTTAAATTTAAGAAATAGAACTCTAAAAGGCTTACACTCATCAAGAAGATAAAAGTAATTACTCATAAAACTATGCAAAATCTTAGTTTCCATGACATTGATGGCTTTAAATCAAAGTTCACAGCGTTCTACTGTGTATTTGTGCATTCTTGAATTGTAAGAAGTTGATGTCTCAATGTCATCTGGCATTTTGGAACTATAATCAGCCTCAACACCAAACATTGATAAGACATTTATTTGTAATCATATGAAACTAGCACAGCCTTGGAACTCAAGGCAATCACTGACAATCATAAAAATGTTCCTGAGAGTTCAATGTTTAGGAACAACAACTTTTTGCGTGTGTGTCATAAAGTACCTAACTGGCTATTTTTTTTTTTACTGAAGGAAAAGATATTGGAAAGTAAGCAACGCCAGGGAAGGCCTGAACAATACTCTGTTTTCAGAGTAGGTTAGACTGTAGATCTTAAAATATAAGTGACACCAGAAATTCTGATTTCACTTATTTTTTCCTTTACTCAGATGATCAAATGTTCATGTTCATCAAAACAATACAGAATGTTCTGAATGCCTTCCTCCTCTGTTAATATCATAATCAAAATTTCATTAAATCATGTTATTATAGCTATAATCCTAAAAGTAGAGTCACAATAATTTGAAAATTTTAAGCAATATAAAAATTCTAAACTGCTGGTACAGAGTATCAACATCCAATTGGATAACATCAATAATGTATGTATATCTGGTTCAATGACAACTCCTT